CGAGTTTCTACAGCAGCGTTTCGTCTCCGGGAGTACCCAACATTTTGAGGTTCTCCGACTGCGTGGAGGCGACGAGTTTCTACAGCAGAGCCCAGAGGCTACGAGTTTCTACAGCAAATCCCAGACGCGTGCGCGCATGCCGGATTCGAAAACAGATGGTCGTGGACACAGCATGACACAGAATGGCGCTGTCACTCAAACATCCCTCAACCCCCGCTTCCGCACCAAGCAAGAGTCCGAAACCCTGTACCTTGGAAGCCAAAGCCCCTGGCAGCAAGAATCTCGTGCTTCTGCCCAGGTCCCTGACGCATTCGTTCGACGTCTTCGGGATGCCTGGTCAGAAAGCGGGCACAGGCGGGAAACCGAAACCTGGATAAGCAGTAAAGCGCATTTCCCGGTGCCAAAATCTCATTCGAGGGCTTACTCGGGCCCGCGGCCTGATATAGGCTAGCGGCCTGCGATGCCTAGTGGCTGGCATGTTTGGGGATCTAAGTGCAGACATGAGTACCCTATGTCTGAAGCAGTTAATACCTGCGAACTCAATATAAGGCTTAAACCCTGAACGACGTTTGTCACCCTCGGCCCCGGCGTGCCGACCTCGAGTAAGCCACGAAGCGCTCAGGTGCAGACGCGCGGCCGCACGCGGAGGTGGAGGCCTTCACAGAACTGGAGCAGACCCGCCTACAGCCTGAAGTGCCCTGTGCAGTCCATGCGGAAGGACTACGGAAAAATCATAACGCAAGTCAGTCTGCTATGTAAAGCCAAGACATGCCAGGACCCTCGAACCTGCGAGTCATCACTACCCTGCACAGCATCCCTGGTGGATTCAGAGTGTAGGCGTTTCGGTCTGGCTGAGGGTCAAGCGCCCAGGAGAGTGAAACAACGCCGGTGTCCCTATCTCGAACTACGCAGCCTGCATCCACTGACGATTCCCAATCTGAGTTTGTCTGAGCCTTTACGGATAAGAACGGTTATAAGCATTTCCAAACCACTGCGCACGAACACAGGTACGTCGGGTCAGCCGATGCTCGGCATCGAGATTGAAATGGCGCCCGACTGTTTCAAAAGTCCGGCCCTCAAGGACTGACGATTCCCAATCTGAGTTTGTGTGAGTCTTTACGGATAAGAACGGTTATAAGCATTTCCAAACCACTGCGCACGAACACGGGTACGTCAGGTCAGCCGAGGCGTGGCATCGAGAAATGGCGCCCGACTGTTTTCAAAAGTCCGGCTCTCAAGGGCTGCAGCTGTGGGTCTTCTAGCAACGCCAAACGGACGACTGTAGCAAGTGCGGCTATGAAGGGCTGCAGCTGTAGGTCTTCCATCAACCCCAAACAGAAGACTGTCCATTTGCAGCTCCGAACCAATCGCACAGTGATAACATTGCCTTACGGCAAGCCTCCTGTGCCATCCACCGTCCTGCGTCTCTTGCTTCGAGGCTCCTGGGGGCATCGCTTCTTGCAGGGAGTTACGATCGCAGAGTTTCACCCTCTGAAACTCAAAAAGATCTGGTTCCTCACCTTTATCCTGTGGCAGACCATAGTTGCTGCGCAAGCCCTCAAATTCCAGGATCGCGAACTGCAACACCTCGGCGATCTGCTCCGGTTCCATGTTGTCGTGAACTCCTCCCTTTATCAACCCTGCCGGGCCTTGAGCCGGAAAAACAACTACAAATACACCAACTCTTTCGACTCTAGAGACGATGGAAGCCATCATAGAACGATTGACGATTATGCTTGAAGCCATCAGAGAGACATGCCACAGGAAGGTTATGGAACACTACAGATACACCAACTCTTTCGACGTTGGCCAGCTGGCAGTGGTGCTGAGGCCAGGCTTTTTTTTGTTCCAGATTTTGCGGCCCCCTCGCGTTGACTGGTCAATCATTGTCTATAAGCTCCTAGCTTTCCTCTGCGGCTCCGCAACTCTCACGATAGGAGAGCAGGCTGCTCAGAACGTGCTCAAGCAGTGGCACTGGTATAGAATTGCCCAGCAAGCCAAACCACTTCCTATCCGACATCCCTTCTGGCCTGCGCAGTGACTTGGGGAAGCCCATCACTTTTCGCATCTCCTTCGCCGAGAAGCGTCGGCCCCGGCTGCTGATCCAGTGCCCACCTGACATGGCCCGGGATCTGGTCAAGCAAGGAAAGAGATCGTACATCATTCTACCACTCGAGGAATCCACGTCCATGACCATTGGCACCCGGGCTGGATCCAAGCCTGCCGCAGTCAACTGCTTGTACATCTTCTCCACGTTGCGGCCAGCCACTTGGGTAGCGGGCCGGGAACGACGTATCTGTGCAAGTGTGTCAGGCGGAGCTGGGTCAAGAATATCACGAAAGCTTGCTTGAGGCAGGTCTCGTGGCCACGAAAAGTCAGGCATGCCTTCTTTCTGAGGCTTGCTCGACACAAGCCTACCCACTATGAGAACAGCCTCTCCCGGTTCTGCGGCACCTTGTGATAGCGGGCATTCAGGGTCTTGAAGCATACTCTGTATCCCGACGCCCTGAGATCCTTCAGGATGTAATCAAGCGCTGCTCTGTGCCGGCTTTCCAGGCCTCGGACGTTCTCTAGCAACAGCCAGCGAGGACGAACATTGCGAATCATGGCGAGCATTTTTCGAAGCACGCCTGATCTTGGATCGTCCAGGCCTCGGTTTAGGCCTTGCGAACTGAAGGGCTGGCAGGGGTAGCCTGCGTGGAACAGGTCCACGCGAGGCCAATCTCTGCTCGAGTGCGTGAGGACGTCCCCTCTCAAAAGCTCGGGGCAGAAGTTCTTCTGCAAAGCGGCCTGGGCTTCCGGCAGGATGTCTGCAGAGAACACATGACGGTAGGCGAATCTCACGCTGCGCAATGCCCATATGACCGCTTCCAAGCCCGAGCACCACGTGCCAACGCTCAGAGGTCGACGAGCTTCGCGAAGCCGTGGGGGCAGACGTTCTGTCCTCTTCTTGCGCTGCTTGGCGCGAAGAAGCGCCTTATTGGATCTGCGCTGTCCAGCAGACCGAAGCGCACGACGGGCCTCCTCTGGGGCCAGCGCAAACATGACCCACACACGCACACGCACACACACACACACACACAGATGCCCATACGCACACAGCCCGCGGAGCTTCTCTTGAACCCTGCGCACACACATGCCCACAAATTGGGAGCTGGCAAAGGTCATCTGATCAAGGCGGAGGCAGTGCAGGCACCCACAAATGCACCTCGCCGACGCATGCAGCCAGGCTTCGACCTGGGAGGGGGGGGGCATGCATACCGAGACACGCGATACTATGGCAAAGGTTCGTTACTTCTTTTCTCGGAAGGCCGCTCATGTGCTGCATCTGGTCTGACCCCTGAAGAGCGCAAGTCTCGCAAAGGCGGAGGTCGACTTCGTCGGCATGGATTCTGTCTTCGTAGCTAAACCCTTGGGAACTAGTTTGATGAAGGACCTCAAAAGCCGTAGACTGCGCGATACTGCTCAGGCAGAGGGAATACGAAGTTGAAATGGCAAAATGGCAGTAAGCCAGGCCCTCCAGGCCTCACACTGCAATTATGAAATGCTCCCGTGATTCCATGCTCACTTCTTTTGGGAGTCTTCAGAGTCCTCTGGCTCGGATGGGTCCTCGTCCACCTCGCCGAGGTCATCCTCCTCCTCAGCATCCTCGGCCTCGTCGTCCTCCTCGGCCTCCTCGGCATGTTTCAAGGCTTTCCGCTTCCGACCGCCTTTCTTGGGACCCTTGTCCTTCTTCGTCTTTTTGTCTTTCGAAGATCCTGCTTTCTTCTTGGGCTTTCCCGCCTTCTTCTTGGGCTTCGCCTTGCCCTTGCTCTTAGGCTTAGCTTTCGGCTTCTTCTTGTTGCCCTTCTTATCGTCCTCCTCCTCCTCCGATGCATTCTCCGCCTGGATCTGGCTCACGAGCGTTGCGAAGGCCGGCACATAGAGGGCGTGACCTTCCTCTGCGAAGCTCACCATGAACCTCCTTTGGAGCTCTTGACGAAGAGCCTTGACGTGGAATTCCGTAAATGCCCAGCCGAAGTAGACCATGCGGCGCTCCACTGCCAAGCACGCCAAGTCGCCGACTCCCGCTGTCAGGTCGACGATGAGGTCGATGTCCTTGGAGCCGCCGAGATTGTGGAGCAGCTCAGACATGATCTCGTAGCCTTGGTAGTGGTAGAATACCAGCTCGACATCAGAATCCAGCCTCGGCTTGATCTTTGCCGTTCCACTCTCCGTCTTGCCGCCTACGGCGACACGGCCTTCGCCGAACAGCTCTTTCTTGGCACTGAAGGGAAGTTGCCATTGCTCTTCGTAAGGCGGGATGGCGACGGGGAAAATCCAAGAACCCGCGGTGGTGCCTTTGAAGTGCAATCTGTTTCTCTTCTCCACCTTGAGAGCGGAACCCGTGATCACGTAGACGGTCTCCGTTTGCTCAACCGTCCCGAACCCCCGGACCTGCTCCCGCCGGGCACTGAGCGATTCCTCCGTATAGCCTATGCCAATTTTCTGCACGACTTTCTTCATCATGCTGCCACCGCCTTTCTTGCGCTTGGCCGCGGCGCCTTCAGTGCCGTCGTCCTCGGAGGCGAAGACTTTCTGGATGTCCCCGTCGTTTCCGTCCTTTCCTGCATTCAGGATGACAAATATAACCGAGTCTGGGATGCTATCTCGGCAATTGCAGCCTTGCAGGGCTGCCTGCATCTGTCGACGGAAATGGTCACGTAGAGGAGGCTTGCGAACCCCGGGCTGCGTCACAGCCTCCCCTGAGCAGGCGAGGTTATAAAAAATCACAGCCTTCTTCTCCGGGGCAACCTTGGAGAGCGCGGCGCGGATGGTGCTGGCGGCCACGCTGGGAAGCTTGGGATCCGGAGTCAGGATCACTTGCTCGGCGAGCGCCAGGCTGCGCTTCCGGTACGTCTCGAACTCTTCCAGCATGTCGGAGTCCATGCTGGAGCTGGGCACAGGCTTGTCAAGGACGGACTCCAAAACACGGTCAAAGAGGGTGGTGTGAACCTCGCTCACGGCAGCGATTGCAAGGTCCTCGTCCTCCTTCGGCTCCTCGTCCTGCAGGGCTTCTGCATCGGGCAGGGTCTCCTCCAGTCCGGCCGCCTCGTCGATGGCCTCCACGGCCGCTGCAATCTTCTCCAGCTCCATCAGCTCTTCGCAGCTCTTTTTGAGCTTCAAGCCATAGCGCAAAGAGACGTCGTAGTCGTCCCCGTAGATCACGTCCTCGATGAGCCTGGCTGTCAGCGTGGCCGACTGTGGCCAGGAGGCTTGATAGCTCCGGTTCGCTGCTTGGCCATGCGGGATTTGGGCACGCAGGGTGTCATGATTCTTGTAGATGTTTGCGATGACATCCCGACAGTCCTTGGACAGTTCTCGAGAAGGCAGCCATTCCTGCAGCAGGTACTTTAGGAGGTCGCGCTTCCCGATCCAAAGATCCAGATAGCCCTTGCTGTGAGAGTCACCCTTGAGCAAGCTGTGAGTGTAGTTGCCGCGAGTCCTGGGCTTCGCCCTCACAGCATCAAGGAGGCTCTTGAGGAGCCAACGGATTACAGGAGGCGAGCGACCTTTCACAACGAACAGGTGGAGCTTGGAAAGATCATCAAGGGGGTTCCCAACAACCCATTCTTCCTCCGCGGCGGTGATGAGCTTCCCGATGTCCTAGCAGCCCAGAGGTTTATATGTCTTATATCAACTGAACTCTAGACCGCAAGCCTAGTTCAAGCACAGGCATCCCTATGCAACACTTTGCCTCGTTCTCTGCATAGCACACGTTGTAGATCTCCACCGCGGCAGTGATCATGGAGACTGTGATCTCGCAGTTCAGAGGCTGCTCATCATCCAAGCCCGGCGCGACCTTGACCTGGCTATTGATGTGGTCTGCCAGGTCCTCGTGTGAGGTTGTGCCGAATCGCCGGTCCACGGACTCTTTCAAGGCAACAATCGTAAAAATCCACTGGCGGCAGGTGCGCGACATCGTCTGGTGCTCGATCTTGATGTGCTCCCGTTCAGACAAAGCCAGGGCCATGACAGCATCTTCGTCTGCATCCAGGAGTTTGATATGGAAGGAGACTGTGAGGAGCATGTTTTTCCACTGTTGCAGCTCCTCCGCCGGGGCATTCTCGTCGATGCGCTGACGGATCCGCGCCCAAGCTGCTGCCCGAAGCTCGTCCGGAGACACACACTTCATTTCGAAGGCACCGCGAGGATCCTCACTCGCAGATGTCACGTAGAGCAGCAGCTCCCTCGGGAAGAGCCCTGGCTCCTCGTCCATGAAGTAGTAACTCAGCAACATGTCCACGGACGCTCGGCGTACTGGCACGCCCGGAAGAGGTGCGAACAACGGGTCGATCCAAGCCAGGTTTCCCGCAGCCTTGTAGGCTCCACGCTGTGCCAAAGCAATGCTCATCTCATCCAACTTGAAAATGCTTTGCACGCCGCTGCGGTTGCCGGCACCATCCTTGATCGGCAAGGGTTCGCAGTCGCCCGTGTCAGCAAAGACCGGATGCGACATCACCGCGTCTATGTCGCTTTTCAATGCAGAGTAGAACGCTGCATTCTGTCCGAGGCTGCCAGGGTTGGGCCCGCTCAGCTTCACTTTGGCCTTGTCCTTCGGCATGGCCGAAGAGCTCCCACACTTGGCGGAAGCAGGAAACACCTGTGCTCACTCGAGGAAAAAAAACACAACCCTGCGGCAACTCTGCAATGGGAATCCTGCTGCGGATCATCAGGGGACTCTGCTGGGCACTGCCGTTCAACCGAACTTATGTCTGCCAGCAGGGTGGAGCGCTCTAGGCTGATGGCCGGGATATGCTCTGACCTGGGCCTCCACTGCTGAGCTGAGCCACTCCTAGCACGTCATTAAAACCCAACTCCCGGACCATGCCCTGCCAGCAGCCAGGAGCGCTCCAGGGTGCTGGCGGGAGCCGTTCGTAGAACCGGTGCCAGACAACGCCTGGCACCAGAATGTCGCAACAGGATTCTGCTTCAGCGTCATTCTTCACAAGCTTTGCCTTGCCACGTGATTCATGCGACTTCTTCCTCAACATGCCACTGTCTTGTCAGTCAGCCTCTGCTGCTGGATCTCTAGGCCCTTCACCTGGTTTCTGCTGTATTCCTCAACATGCCGCTAGCTTGTCTGCTAACGGCGCTGCCACATGACTGACGCACTGACGCTGCCA